AGGGAGTAACACACCATCTACACAGTAGCAATAAGCACCGAGTTGTAAGCAGAAGTAAACATCTGGATACAGGGAGGACGAGTAGCAGGCAAAAGGGGAACAGAGAGAGAGATGTAAAGAACACCATATAATAACATTAATGAAAACTATGTAGAGGAAACTAACCAGATAAATATATTTCTATGATATACATAATATCTAATTTGGGGGTGAGGAAAACTAGTGTAGCGAGAGACCTCAGTCTTAGTCTAGGTTTATCCTTCACTGCAGTGAAGTCATAGTAATTCTGATGATATAATCTATGCCTGATGGAGTAGTATGTAAAGTAACGCCTGATGATATAATCTATGAGCTGTTCTTTGGTGATGTAATATATGAGGAAATACCCAGAGAGAATATTTAGAATATCTCCTCCTGGTGTCTACAACAGAAAAGAGCCAAGGGCTGTGGCTGGGGAGGAGAGGGAGAAGCATATTCTATTGCAGCAGTTGCCGCATATATCCTTGCTGCAAATGCTGCTGCAACCCAACAAACCCCGCATGCATGCACACGTACCCAAGCATCCGTTCGCTGTATGCACTAACATTGTAGCCAGGTGTTAGACACTCACTTGACCCTCAGTAGCCGACCTGCATGCAAGTTGAAATACAGGGGCCAACATCAGACAGTACAGACTGCAAATACCATCTAGGAAGAAAAGTCAGCACCGGTCCTGGGGTGTATGTACACCTGAGCTTGAGGGGGTATTGCATGTTGCAAAGACTGAGTATTAACCAAATGTTTAAAACACTCATTTCAGGTTGAAGCTCCCCTGCCTGACTCCCCTGCTTCAGCAGCGATCCAACCAGCCCCCGGGGGCCCCTGGAGATGGGGGCCCCCTCAGGCGTTACAGCCGACAGTGGTGCTGTCACAGCAACAGCAACAGCACACAATAAGGATTGCATTTGTTTCATCTTTTAGAGTATTTTAAGAGACAGAAAATAAAACGATAAGTCGGCACCCTAACAGCTTTCAGGTGCCAAACCACACACTGACACACGCCGCTGCTGGGGCAGTTGTTCCTGCTGCTCGCATACATCGTTCGCTGGTGTTTCTGCACTGGATTTGTTATTTATTTCTATTTCTTGTGCATGCGCGCAGCAGCAACAGCTCAGAAGAGGCGGCAACAGCAGTCGGCGGCACGGGTTGCTGTGGCACCACCAGCAGCAGCAGCGACTCTGCTGCCTAGCCGCAACTGCAGCAGCACCAGCAGCAACAGAAAATGGAAATAAAATTCGCGCAAGGGGAACAGCGCACCAAAGCGCTTGCTGTGCTGCAGAACGCAGCACGACCATCATCAACTCCGACGTCAGGGAAGATCAACAAACAATGCAGCGATTACTCGTACGTGCATGCACCGCAAACAGCAGAAAACACCACTAGAAGCACCAGCCCCACTGTCACTAAGAGCGAGAGTATGCTATCTAGGAGGGGGGAAGCAGCGGCACATGGCAGCAGCAGCAGCAGCAGCAGCAGGCAGACCAGCAGCACGTATCCTATCACTCCACACGATGGCATTTG